CTTGCACAAGCCCACTGTTGAACATAGGCCCCGCACAAGGAATGCCATAAAACACGGTCCTGAGCCACCTGCATCCGTCAGGTCGTCACTCTAACTACTGGGAGTCGCCCTACACTACGCATACAGGTACGAGGCTGCCACTCGAGAAACTTTCTTCCCCATCGGTTACCGGTTCTTCAAGCAATATGGCCAGCCAATTGCCACTTCAGCTTGCTAATCCGTTGGGCTATGTCGATCACTCTGGTTTTACTGCGGATATCCTCATTTCTGAGTCTATCACGCAGAGAAACTCCGAGCATAGCCCTTTCCATAGCTCGCTGAGAGACTTTGAGCGTCCTCATACGGCCAGCAATGAAGGACCACGTCTCAGATCCGTAAGTCATCACTGGCAACACGCACTGGTTGTACAATCTAGTTTTCAGAGTTTGAGGTATAGCTGACGAGAAGATGTGTCGTAATTTCCCAAACGCTGCCCAGCCGGTTTGAATTTGTCGATTGACTTCTCGGTCGAAGTATGACTTACATAGTTGGACTATTTGTCCCTGGTAAACGTACTCGTCAACAACATCGAGCATAGTGCTCCCAATAACTACCGGCATAGGTGTGACATGGATATTAAACATGATCTTTGTTTTGTCCATGTTCATCTTAAGACCTATCCGTTGGGAGACACTATTGAGGTCTTTGCGCATAGTGCTAAGGTCCTCCAGCAATTCTGCCATAAGGATTATATCGTAGGCAAATTGAAGGTGAGTAATGTGCTCGACATTGATGTTAATAGCGTATCCTTTCCAGTTCAGTAGCTTGAAAACGTCTTCCAATGCAGCAGTGAAGAGTTTCGGGGATATAACGTCACCATGTCTTACACCTCTCTGCAATTGGATAGGTTTCGAACTCTGGTTCTGTACTCGGATAGCCATCGTAGCACTACTGTACAAACACTTCAGCACTTCGATATACCAACAGTCAACTTGGTACCGCTGAAGGGACGGTAGCACCGCCCAAATTTCGATGGAATCAAAGGCTTTCTCATAGTTCACATACGCCAGGCAAAGTGGCAGATTGTACTCTTTGGTCTTCTGTGTAATCTGCCGTAGGGTATGTATGTGGTCTATGGTACTGAAGCGTTTTCGGAAACCGGCTTGTTCGGGAGGCTGGAAGTAGTCGAGTCTGCGTGCAAGACGATTCGTAGTGACTCTCGAAAACAGCACGTAGACGCGGCTCAGAAGGGAAATAGGTCTTTAGTTCTTCAAGAGAGCGTTGTCACCTTTCTTGAAAAACAAGACCACCGCACTTCTACTCCACGCCTCCGGAGTAGCGCCACCATAGAGGACGGAATTAAAGAGCTTCTGAAAGAATTTATGTACCGGTGTTTTACCCGCTTTAAGAAGCTCCGCTGTAATTCCATCCTCACCTGGGGCCCTGCTGTTTTTAAAGCACCTTAAGAGGCCATTCTAATCAGACTGACTCAGACTGACGTCCGGGATATCATCGGAAGAATGTCAGATAAGACTTGCTCTTGGATCATTACTCACACTTTCGTGTGGCTCCAACGATGATGTGTACAGCTGCCAATAGAACTTCTCAATCTCACTAAAAATCTCAGGGGTTTCGGAAACGATGCTGCCACACTCAGTCTTCAGCTTTGACAGTAGGCTCTTTCTGGCAAGCAGATCTATGGTAAAAACTTTCGAGCCCTGGTTCCGCTCGATCGCTTTTTTAATACAAGCTGTACTGAAGTTACGTGAGTACCGCCGCATGTGTTTGCAGATCTGTCTGTTTAGTTGGCTGTGTGCTGCTAAATCTGCTGTAGACTGCTGCTTCATTTCCCGTCTAACAGCCATGAGATTAAGAGTGTGATCGGAGAGTTTTTGTGTTCTTCTGCGGCAGGTCTTGCAAAACTTAGGTCCGGCCACATGGACAATTTTCACGAGCTTATCATTCATATCGTCCACTTCATTGCAATCTTCTAGGCACTGAAAGCGGTTACGTTACTCGAGCTGAAGGGTTTCGTAATTCGTGATTGGTAAATTAAAAAAGTGACTTTCAATAAGTATAAAAATACTTATATAATCATATATATATATATATATATATATATATATATATAATCTATATTGAATTAAAAAGTTTCTATTTCTATTTCTATTTCTATTTCTGGATTAGAGCATGAGGGGGACGGAGGGTTGACTTCATTAGACGAGACCTCTCCAACTTAACGTTTAGGTTCAGTGTGCCTCACCATTCGGTGATCGTTGCCAGTTTTCGCCCTTGTGATCACTGAGTCATCACTGAACAGTTGGCGTCTAGTCGTCATAATGAAGTCAATCTCACTTTTTTGTCGAACCGTCGGGGCTCGACCAGGTCCACTTTCTGTGGGGCCTCTTCTGGAAGAAAGAGTTCATATTAAAAAGTCCCTCTCTATGAAGTCGGATAGCTGCTGGCCCCTTGGGTTCCGTTACCCTATTCCAAATTTCCTTACCTTCATCTCATTGTTCTTTCTTGTGCCCAGTTTTGCGTTGAAGTCTCTCATTAACACCGTATAGTGGGTTTTGGAGGAATGAATGACTCTAGAGATATCCTCATGCATATTCTACACCTCCTCATCGGGATATGCCGAGGTTGGTGCGTAGACCTATATGACCTTCATCTAATACCGTTTGGTGATTCTGAGTATAAGGTACGCAACCCTCGTCGATACACTCTCAATCTTTAAAACGTTATTAACGAGATGGACGATAAATCCAACACCTCCTTGGGACATATGGTTGCCCTCCCGGTGATAGAACAAGTTGCCGGAGAAGAATCTGGTTCGAGAATCACCGTGTCTTCCCCCTCTCTTCAGATCTCGGATAATCCTATAACATTCCAGCGCAACTTGTCTATCTCTTCTTCTAGCTTCAGGATCTTCTCTTCAGTCCTCAGGGTGCGTGCGTTAAATGTTGCCAGGTCGAGTTATCGTAGGTGGCAACCGAACCTCCACCGGAGATTTTTAGTACCATGGTAAGAGCGGGGCAGGGCCCCCTCTTACCATGGTCGCTACCGTAGCCAGGAATAGCGGGGCGGCCGGGGACTGGGGGCCGTCTATTTGTGTAATTGTTCATGGGGGGTATATAGCCATAGTTGCTACACGTGAAGAGCGGGTTGGCAACCGCAGTTTTTTTGTAAAACAAAGTTGTTGTTATCAGGAAGATGCTGCTGCCCACCTCCTGTCTGTTTCCCTCTGTTGCCTTTTACGACACCCACGGGAAAATATGGGGTAGTGGATATTCCTATTACGACACCCTTGGGAAGATATGGGGTAGTGGATATTCCTCCGTTACTTCACGTCAAATATACACGGCATATATTGACTACAATTTGCAAAATGTATACATATTTTCTTATTTTAATATTTTTTAAAGATTTATATACTCGATTACATCATGGATGGTTCACAAGTGGTAAGGTGGCTTCATGGGCTAGATACTGGAGATGGAGAAGTGATTGAGAGTGAAGATGTTGAATTTTAGCCAGAATTAGACTTGCAGGCCCTAGTCCGCGAGTCAGAACTCCGTAAATATGCAGATTTACATGATATTCCATTCTCGCAACTAGCAACCAGAAGGCGCGGTTCTGTCTGTAACTAAACGAACGGAACTATTTGGCATAAAGAAGTTCCATCAGAAACGCGAACTCGACCCAAAAACATTACGATAAGACCATTAGGCCCAAAAGGAGATGAAACTAAGAATGCAAAGGATCCGTTGTTCCGTTTTCAACTATTTTTCAAGAAGGATATCATGGACATCTTGGTAATATGCACTAATATAAACTTCAAAGAGAGGACGAATTGGTCGATTTTACACTCTGCTCGAGAGAGACCGTAATCGGTCAACAAAAAGTGGTGCAATACATAAGTAATAAATTGGATTGTCCCAATCAACAAGAAATGGTGTGTCCTATATGCTACGAAAACAAAGAAAACAGTAATAAAGTTTAGTTTTAAGTTATAACAAAATTACGTTAAACTCAGAAGTACCAATTATGTTACTTTTTCTCAAATTTTTTATTCTAAATAATTTCTTAATGATTTACCTAAAAAATAAGGTTGCTAAACTCAGTAAAATAAAAACATTTTCTATTCTATTTGTTGTTTTAATGAAATAATTAGGAATATACAAGTTATTGACATTTTAATATGGCCTACTATTTATATGGCCACGCTCGTACTCAAGTAAGAAAAAGGGGCGCGTGTATTGTAGTGTAGTTAATCAGTTTATATATATAAAAGTAATTGAACCAAAAACCAATATCAATTTTGATATTTTTGGTAGAAATCACTATTCTCCGTTTGAATTATTACACTTGTAAATCAGAATAACGAAAAAACTTAAAAAAGTTAGGATTTTAAAAAAATATATAAAACTAATTATGTATTTAAACATGTAAATGTAAGTTATAGAAATTATTTAATTTATAAATAACTGAAGGAAAAACATACTAATTCTTCTATTTGATGAAAGATGGCGCTGTTTTGAAAACTAAAACGGAGATCGTTGGCGTAGTTTAAAATTTTTATACGAAGGTTAAAATATATATTTATAAATATGGTATTTATTTGAAAAATCACTCGTCATCCCGCGTATCTACTAACATAATCTTAAATTATAGAAAATTATATCTCAAGGAAGTAAAATACTTAATCTTCTTTTTCAAAGTTTCGTAATCAAATAAAAAGTAGCCTATTAATTGCCCTGGATTACTAACTTGAATATGCGTAACGTTGATACTTAACCTACATACAAAATTTCATAAAAAGCAGCCATATAAACAGACAGACAGACAAATATTCTAAAAACTACTAATTTGGTTTCATAACACTTTATTTAGTTTCATGGACTTGTTTATTCAAGAAAATAGTTACGAAGAATTACAGATACGATTTTCCTACAGATTTATTATGATATGTATAGATATAAAATTTGCAAAATTATCGTTTACTAGGCAAAGTCAATCACCTTTGGCGCAAACAGGCAAACAAGGGTCACGCTCGCACTAAGAGAAATTGTGACGGCCATACTGGTGACGCGAAGGGGCACGTGGCTTGAAGTGCCGAAGTAAAGCGGTACGAACGCGAGCCAAATGACACACGTAGTGTACATGGTGAAACCTGCAAGATAAAGTTATTAGTGTCGGCACAGTATGCACAGTATATCGGCAGTCCGAAATTGTTTATTTGAATCTAGGAATTAATACCTACCAATATGTTTGCTCTCGTTAAATGCTTCTGGTATTTTCCGTGTAAGTACTGCGTATATTGTGCAAACAACGATGAGTACAACAGGATAGAAGAAGGCGATAGTATATGAGGCATCTACGTAAGAGTCACATACTAGCATATTATCTTCACGCGTAGGATAGTGGTGAATAGCTCGAGCAGGCGATGCAATTTGCCATACTACTACGATGATAACCTAAACACCATAAACATATGTTGTTAAGATATTACGGAGTAATTATTGATCCTAAAAATTAAAAAAATATTAAATATTTAACGACGTATACCTGGACAGACACTAAAAGTGAACAGATGAGAAGCTGCGATTTAGGAGAGATGAGAGACGGACGACGGGCTGAATGTTTGCTGGCATCGAAAATGCGTGCTATTCTATTAGTTTTTGTAAGTAGAGCAGCATATACGACAGTGAAACAAAATCCTGTGCCAAAACTGTAATAATATTCATTTGTTAATCATAAAATTGATTGCTGTCAATTATGATCCTTAAAAATTGTGGATTCTTACCGTTGCAAGGAACAAATGATGTCTGTAGGACGGAGGACAAGTGCGAAGGTGACAAGATAACACATTAAAATACCAGCAAGTAACACGAAGGACAGTTCTTTCCCACTGGCACGAACTACAGGCGTATCCCCACGCACCAGCCACACCAGGGCCACGAACCTGCGCAGGGCAAGAAGATTATACAATTTATTGTAAAAAAAGACTTCATAATAAATATAAAATCATTCAAAATAGATAAAAGATCCATCTAACGACTTTAGGAATGTAAATATGCACACTGCAGTCTTATCGTTGGTCGTCTCGTAGTTTTTTGTTGTTCTCTCGGGTATGCTGCGTGCAGAAAAGTACATACAGCTAATATCTAATCGAGCTTGAGTAATTTGTCGCACATCCCACTAAACGCTACTTATACAAAGAAACAACATTAGATTTGGAACATTTAAAAAATAAAGCAGTGTTTATTTGAGACCGCAGCACATTTTCAATTCTTAGTGAACTGTCATTGTTAATTAAAAAACAATTGCTGATAAAATGGAACTATAATTATTTACTTATTCATTTAATCTTTGACATACACCTTATAATTAGACACATAAAGGGCGGCTCTTATGCGTTACGGCATTTTTTACCACTCAACCATAACTCAAAAAAAAATGTGTAATAAATATATAAGATACAATAAAATATAGTTCATTAGCTATTAAAGAGCTAGTTAAAATTTTTTTTTGTATTATAACTGTTCTTTTTTTCTTCAAAAATAATGTCCAGTTGGTTTTCTTGTTGGTTTTTCCCAGGACTGAGGTATTTTCCGAACGAGTGGTAAATTAAGCATAAAAGTGACATTCAAAAAATATTATTTGAAACCAATTTATTCGTTCATTACAGCACTTCACAAGTGCGCTGCTGAACAAAGGACTCCCCCTAAGGTACGCCAAAAAGCACGGTCCTAACTCCATCTAGTGCCGAATCGCCCTGAGTTTCGTTTATAATTACGAGGCCCACACTAGAAATCTTTTCTTTTTTGTTGATTGTCGGTTGTTTGAGCTATATGTCCGGCTTATTGCCACTTCAGCTTAATAATTCGTTAGGCTATTTCGGTTACTCTGGTTATACTGAGGCTATCCTCGTTTTTAAGTCTATCACGGAGACAAAACCCGAGCGTAGCACTCTCCGTAGCTCGCTGAGCGCCGACGGCGCATTATAGGAAAGCCCCATATAAAGCAGTCTCATAACTGTATTTAACGAAAGTCGTTGTTACGTGATGAAAATTATAAATTAATATAACATTATAAATAAAGTTTCTTTTTTGGGTGTTTTTATTTTATTTTGTATGTTTAATATAAGTATAAAAGAGCATCAAATCTTAATCATGTTCGATTAGATGATTTTGACGAAATACGTTATTACGAGTCAATGCCACATTACTTGAAAGTTTTCCATATACGTACATATAAACGTATTATACATTTATGGAATACTTATATGCTTCTCCAAATTTTTCGTAAATAACATTATATTATATTAGTCAATTAAACAAATAAGAACCAATATAGTTTAAGATGGTATATTTTTAGAAGATATTTACCTCTTACGGCGAGGTTTGCCGATGTCGAAATATTTATTGCATTAAGATCTTCACACATTACTCTGTTTAGGGATAAAACAATTGCTCTTACTTCCTTCTTTTTTGATACGGATCCAAAATACATCGCAAAATAAAAATCATTTTTTTCAAAAACTTTTATCTTTTTATAATATAGCGTGGGTGATCTAATTTACCACTGGTAAAAAATAAGGATTAAATTTGATAAATATTGTGGTCAAAATTTGACCACACAACTTGATAGAATTGTATTTTATCTATTAGGTTCTATTAAAAACACGTTGGAAAATTATTAGTTTCTGATCGTTTTGTATTATTTATTGGTCCTATAAAATGACGGCAAACCTTGAAACTGAATTCATAGTTGTTGGTCTTATATTCAGTTGCCACAGTATAGCAATAAGTTTGTTTTTAAAAAAATTATAGAAATTTATACTGATTTGAAAAACAGGTGAATTTGTTTGTAGTAAAAGAAAGTTGTGCAGTTTGGTGATAAATGGACATAAAAAAAAGAAGATTACTTAGAAGTAAATTTTAATTTACCCGTAGAGGATAAAGCTACTGCGGTTTCCTACATTTAAAGAAACTTAATATTATCTCAATATAACAAACTCTAGAAAAATGCATATCGGATAAGAGAACGCTTGAAAGTCAAGAATTTCGTGAATTGAATTTCGAGTTCCACTTGAGTGTCGAGCCTTGTTTGATGAACCTAATACATCCGGAGGTAGTATATGCATATGCTTTGTCGAAATGTCCAATTTGTACTCATGTAAAGTTTATATGCTCTTGGTGTTCCAAATAAGTTAAAAATAAATAATAATAATCGCACGGTATACGTACATGATGAGCAGCGCACCGAGCGCGGAGAAGGCCATGGCGCTGACGGCGGCGAAATGCGCGGGGCGCAGTAACAGCATATCGCACGGTATACGTACATGGTGAGTAGCGCACCGAGCGCGGAGAAGGCCATGGCGCTGACGGCGGTGAAATGCGCGGGGCGCAGTAACAGCATATCGCACGATATACGTACATGGTGAGCAGCGCACCGAGCACGAAGAAGGCCATGGCGCCGACAGCAGCGGGGTGCGTGGGGTGCAGGAACATCATATCGCACGGTATACGTACATGGTGAGCAGCGCACCGAGCGCGGAGAAGGCCATGGTGCTGACGGCGGCGAAATGCGCGGGGCGCAGTAACAGCATATCGCACGGTATACGTACATGGTGAGTAGCGCAACGAGCGCGGAGAAGGCCATGGCGCTGACGGCGGTGAAATGCGCGGGGCGCTTTAACAGCATATGCTAGCGCACCGGCGAGGAACACATATCGCACGGTATACGTACATGGTGAGCAGCGCACCGAGCGCGGAGAAGGCCATGGCGCCGACAGCAGCGGGGTGCGTGGGGCGCGAGGAACAGCATATCGCACGGTATACGTACATGGTGAGCAGCGCACCGAGCGCGGAGAAGGCCATGGCGCCGACAGCAGCGGGGTGCGTGGGGCGCAGGAACAGCTCGGGCACGCCGGCACAGCGCGCGCGCTCCGCGTCGGGCAGCGTGCCGCGCGGGCACTCCGCGCACGCCGTCTCCGATACCGGTGACCGGATCTGCAACGACCACCGCCAGCATCATACAGTTTTAAAAAATATAAATAAGACTAAATATCATTAGACATTATAGGCTCGAATGAACGACGACCGATTCTGTTCTTCCGATCAGTTTTTTCTGAACGGCTTGACTCACTGGCGCTGCTAAGAGATCCATCTCTTTGCATATTCTATCAAATCTACTATGGGGCGTGCTTTAAGAAATTTTAAATAACCCCTAAATTTTACTATCACAGAACTCGATAATTTTTTTTAAATCTTCCTTTTTACGGCGTATTTATGAAAAAAAATATGAAGAATATCTCACCTGAAGATTTAATATATTTTTATGACTTTAAATGTGATCGTAAACGCACTTCTTCGAATATAATAATTCATAACTGTTTTGCAAAGCATTAAACAAAGTTTATATTTTTTTTTTGTTAATCCAGAGAAAAAAAAACAAACATTAAAAAACACAATTCCAAAAGTTAATATTTTGGTGTTTTGTTGAGTGTACGATCGAGCGAAGTGAGCTCAGAGTGACTCGGACAGGTTAGGTTAAAAGGAAATGGCGGGATCGAGTGAGCGAGCGAATACACCCCGCCATCTCCTTCGTGGTTATTATTTTATAAACCACTTAGAAGTAGGAGCCCCGCTTCGCGACCAGCTTCCCTCGACTACGCTACGTTGAGTGACTTGGTGCTTCCCTCCCCCAACTATCCCCTCCCACAAATCAGGTTTATAGTCAAAAACTCTACGAAAACATAACCTCAAAATCAGATATTTAAAAATTTCTAAAAAAACTAAGCATGTCTGGCAGGGGGTGGAAGTGAGGAGCGACTCTACAACTCCCCCGTCTCCCTCTCCAGCACTTCCCACTCCTTTTTGTGGGTTTGATTTTTTTTTGATTTTTCTCAAGATCGGTGTGTAGCGGCGTTGTCGTCACGCCACAAGCGAAACACACCGAAGCCTAAATCACGCTATCAACATTCCCGTCCCCAGCCATAGGTGTATTACCTTTTAATGGGAGTGATTTTGGGGGTAAGGGGACGCTCACCCCCTCCCCTCGGTTGAAATTGAGAATCATTTGGTGGGAGGGGGGGGGGGCTGGAAATGAGGTAATATGTAAGAAAAGGCCAGTTTTAAAAGAAATTGTTATTATTTTAAATCGTAAAAACATGAAAAATTAACATATTTTTTGCATATTTTTTTTAATTTGTTTTTTTTTTGTGTAGATTATGAAAAAACATAGAACAACTTCATTCGATTATTTGTAAAAAAAACGTTCTTAACAATTGTACGTGAATGAGTGCATTTTCATGAACATTTAAAGCACTGAAACCAAAATAAGTTTTCATATTTTTATTTCTGTAATTTTTTCTTTACTTAATTACCCCACAGCCGTAGCATCTTGGGCTGTAATTTCTATTGTGGTCGCGAACCGTAACTGCTGCAAACTCCCTAACGTGAGGGGAATGATGATCCTGCCGTCACCAGGCTTCGACCTCCAGGGCATGGGCCAAGGCGTTCTTAAGCGTCTCGTGGTGCCCGAGCCTCACAGCAGCTCTGACTTCCAGGTCGCGGATGCCGTCGATGAATGTCTGCACCAGGTTCCCTTCAATGAGCGCAGGTACAGACTGGTATGCTTTTCGCACCAGCTTCTCCACCTCTAGAGCCCAATGCTGCAGGTTTTCGTTGATGCGCTGCACGCAATCTTTAAGCTGCACACGAAAGACGTCTTCCAGGTGCGCGTCGCCATATCTCGCCTCCAATATCTCAAGGAGCTGCTCATAAGTCACTTTCTTACCGAGAGCTTCCAACACAGTTAAGGCTTGGTCGCGCAGGCCTAGTGTGTGTACAGTCATGGCCTGGCTTTTATTCCAGCCGTTCGCCTCCATGACAGCCATGAACTGGATTTTGTAGGCCGACCAGGAAGAAGTCCCGACGAACGGTGGCACTTTGAATCCACGTAGTGAAGGTGTTGTAGCTACCACGGGAACTGTAGTTCCATCTCCAAGTTTGAGGTCGTTCAGTGTTTTCTTCACGTCAGCCATCACGTTGTCCACCTGATTGTTTACTTGGTCGATTCGGGTTTCAGCTTTCTCGATTCGGGTTTCAGCTTTCGCGATTTGGGCTTCAGCTCCCGATAGGCGGTTGTCATGCTGAGCAACCCTATCCTTCACCTCTTTTATCTCCTTCCCGAAGGTAGCGTGAAGGTCCTTCATGAGCAGCATCTGCTCTTCCAACCGACGGGTCTATTCCTCTTTTCCGCCCTGCAGCTGCTCTTCCAACCGACGGACCTGTTCCTCCTGTCGGCGGGCCTGTTCATCCTGTCCGTCCCAGAGCTGCTCTTCCAACCAACGGACCTGTTCCTCCTGTCGGCGAGCCTGTTACTCTTGTCGGCAAGCCTGTTCCTCCTGCTGCTCTTTCATCCAACGGGCCTGTTCTTGCAGCATCACTATCAGAGCACCTAAGTCAGGTGCTGCAGATGTAAGAGCTACTGACGGGCCTGCAGCCGGCGGCTGGCCCTCCGACGTCTGTGGCGTTGCACCACCAAATCCGTCTCCTGCTGGCGTTGACTACGGACACCCTCCGTTTCCTTCTTACGTAAAATCGGCATGATTTTATCCCACTTCTGACGCCAATTGTTACAAGCTTGAGGTTCGTGACAATAAAAAACTGCCGATTGAATTAACAAAATTTACACTTTAATTTTCTTTACACCAATTAAACTTAAAACACTAATAATTAATCACACTGATTCACTTTATTTCGCTCCGAAGCTTCGCTTGTCTCACCAAATTCAATACTGCCCCGATCGCGTCTTGCAGCGCCTTTAAATACACCTTTTTCACCAAAACATCCATAATATTCAAGTAAATACGCGCGCCAACCGACCGGGCGCAGAAAGTTCGAATGTGTGGCTTGTAGAAAGCTTAATTCTTCTGTTCGATACTAGATGGCGCTGTTGATCGACAGTCAAAATTGACATTTTCTAGGAAGCCCTCCTCGCTCTGGTCCCCGACACTAGATGGCTCTAGTTCTAGGTACCTGACGTCAACTTAGGCGCGTAACAATATATTCCCTTTTGTATCAGCACACCAGCATTAAAAGCCAAGAGAACTTAAACTTATATGTTTCTGATATCTATATACCACCTCTTAGCTCCTGTACATGTCGCTTTCTTGAAAAGGCAACAAACACAAAATACTTATGTGTTATACCACAATTCATCCAGAGACCGTAAACTAATATATATTTTTAAGCAGCTTCGTCATCTTGCTGATGCAAGCATCATAACATTCGTTTATACCGCCTTATGTCAGTCTATTATTAACTATAGCATAACGTATTGGGGGGGGGGGGTACAAAAGAACCTATATGATTAGGTTAGAACGTGCACAAGGACTTGTACTTAAAATATCTTATAAAAAACGTAGATTATTTTCAACAAACAAAGTATTAATTATGTGACCTGCTCACCGCACGTCAGCTTTATATTCTTGCGACAATATCCTCTTCTCCCCGGACCTCTGAGGTGTTCAGACGTGTACAAAAACCACTACCGTATTACTTACTATTAGTTTAAATAAGGATTAATTAAAGTTATCTGCCAAAATTCGACATAAAAATAGGAGTACAGGAAATTGAAGAGCTATCAGTGACAGGCCGCTCCTAGTCCTCCGCTGCAGTGACACACTCGCAACCCTGACAGCAACTCGTCGCCGCGAATCACCGCCCATCGCCGCCTATGCACTGACTACGGGGGCGGTGCGACGTACGGTGAATCAGCTGTGCATGCATTGGTCACCCTACGCTACGTCTTCGTGGGAGGTACGTAGCAGTGCTCCTAGTACATTACCTTAACAAGCAATCGGTGTAACTTCACAGCTACGTACTCACTTAAAGTGCTGGTTCGTGTTCTCCTGGTACTTTGCTATACGCACATTTATATTGACCTATTGTTATTTAATAATATTTTAATAAAATGCCTTTGAAACGCACCCCACCACAAAACGGACATGCATCGGAGACTGATTCAGAGAGCGTAGGTGGAAGTGTATCTGACCTATAAAAAGCAGAAAGCAACATCAATTTGAGCATTGGTCGCATGAAGAGAAAGCGGGAAAATGAATTACATAGTTTTATGGAAGAGGTGCGTAGTATGATCTCCAAGTTTGTCACCGATCAAACAAATAAATTACAAGTCTTAGAGTCATCATTAAGTGAAATAAAGTCGCAAAACAGTACATTACAGTTATTATTGGAAACATTATCTTACAAATATGATGAAAAAATTTCAAAAAGAAATAGAAAATTTAAGGAAAGACAGGAGGGAGCACATCTCTTATATAAAACAGCTCGAAATTAAAATTGAAAATCTAGAAAGACACACATGTTCAACAAAGCATGAGATTAGAAATGTACCAAAATTGCAAAATGAAAACAAACAGGAACTTACAAATGCAGTTAAAAAAATTGGAAATATATTAAATTTGCAAATACAGACCGGGGATATTAAAGATATATATCGAGCATCTGCAAAACTCAATGCCTTAAAACCAATAGTAGTCGACTTTAACACCGTACTGATGAAGGAAAATATTACAAAAACCCTTAAAAAACTTACCCTAAAAAGAGAAGAATGAAAAATTAAATACAAAAATATTTGGTTTAGACAGTTCTCCTAAACAGATATATATCTCGGAGGCTCTTACCCCGAAATGAAGGCGTCTATTTTTCTTGGCGATTAACTTCGCAAAAACAAATGGATTTTCTTACTGTTGGACATCTTACGGTAAAATTTATTTATGGAAAAAAAAGGACTGCCATCAATTCGTACCGAAGAAGAAGGAGACTTCACAAAAATAAAAGAGAAAAACTGCCTTGTGACTACCTACTAGATTTTGTTATATACTTTTAATTAATTATTTTAAACGTTTTAAATATAATATAAATCATATCTGCATGCTCCTTCATGATCCATTACTCCATATTTTATTTAGGCATAGTGTATCAAAATTACGAATAATTAATCATAATCATGTAAACACTTCACACACAACTCTTTATACTTCAGAA